CTGAGCTGCAACCTGTGCCGTGAAGTTCCCTGCATTATTACTCTCATCAGGGTTGTTGTTGTTGATACCAACATGTAAATCTTTTGCGCCATTAGCCTCATCGGGGTTGTTGTTGTTGATACCACTATGTAAATCTTCTGCATGTCCTCTTTGTTCTTGAACAAGTTGAATTTGATAATAAAGGGCAAAGACGGCCACAAGTGCCAAAAGAATCATGTTCATAATCATCATCCCATTCTTCTACAGAATACGATCATGGCCTCGTTGCTGCTCACGACGATCTTCTGGTTCACTTGCGAAGACGCAATGGGGCACAAGAACTATGAAGATGATGATCAAACTGATTGGAGAAACCCAGTTCTTGAAAACCCAGTTCTTGAAAACCCAGATGCAGTATTGGAACCATTGCATGCGCATTCAGCCACCACCATTATCATTATGCGCCTCTTCTTGTTCTACTTCTTGCTCTCTCTCTTCCTTTGGCGCTTCATCAAGCAAGATGCGTTGATAATAGACGGTAAACCAAGCCAAAACTTCCAAAGTAATCATCTTTGTGATGATTCTGATCATCATCCCATTCTTATACATAATATGATCATGACCTCGTTGCTGCTCACGACGATCTTCTGGTTCACTTGCTAGGACACAACGGGGCACCACCAACACAAGAATTGTGATGATGATGATGATGATCAACCTTGTTGGGGAAACCCAGATGCAGTCTTGGAAGTGCATGCGCATTCGGCCACCACCATTATCATTATGTGCCTCTTCTTGTTCTGCTTCTTGCTCTCTCTCTTCCTCTGGCGCTTCATCAAGCAGGAGGCGTTGATAATAGATGGTAAACTAGGCCAAAATTTCCAAAGTAATCATCTTTGTGATGATTCTGATCATCATCCCATTCTTATACAGAATATGATCATGACGATCTTCTGGTTCACTTGCGAGGACACAACGGGGCACCACCAGCACAAGAACTGTGATGATGATGATGATGATCAACCTTGTTGGGGAAACCCATATGCAGTCTTGGAACCAAAATTAATACCCAATTGGTTTCATTGATTAATATTGTTTCCTTCTATAAACAATTGGTTGAAGCTGATGAAATCAAATAGGAGTCTAGGTGTATCAAATCTAATCATGGCAAGATATTGATACATGACTGTGTGCACTTCTCTTGCAAAGAGGAGAACGGGTTCTGTATAAAATATTGTGTGCATCTCTTTTGCACACACAACTTTTACATATTTAGTATGAGCATCTAAATTTCTAAGAAAAGCTGATGTGCATATCTTTGAGATAAGCCATCAAGTGTTCCATATTTACTTAGTGATTTATCAAATACTTTCATCATTCATATTGCATTCATTTTCATGTTAGGTGACTCATACGGTTGAGGGCACCAAGATCGTGGTGGCGGTTTTCCTCCGGTGAGCTTGAAGTAATCGTGATCAGTATTGCGTTCAACATATTGCTTCTTACTCTCTCTCTCTTCCTCTGGCGCTTCATCAAGCAGGAGAGGTTGATTAAAGATGGTAAACAAAGCCAAAACTTCCAAAGTAATCATCTTTGTGATGATTCTGATCATCATCCCATTCTTATACATAATATGATCATGACCTCGTTGCTGCTCACGACGATCTTCTGGTTCGGTTGCAAGGACACAACGGGGCACCACCAGCACAAGAACTGTGATGATGATGATGATGATGATGATGATGATCAACCTTGTTGGGGAAACCCATATGCAGTCTTGGAACCATTGCATGCGCATTCGGCCACCACCATTATCATTATGTGCCTCTTCTTACTCTGCTTCTTACTCTCTCTCTTCCTCTGGTGCTTCATCAAGCAGGAGGCGTTGATAATAGATGGTAAACTAGGCCAAAACTGCCAAAGTAATCATCTTTGTGATGATTATGATCATCATCC